GTAGAATTGAGGTTTGAGCTGTTTTAGAAAGCAGAAAGTTGTTTAAGAACAGACTCCAGAATGATTAGCTGTTAGCTTCACTTTTCAATATGATCTGTTATCTGTTGTCTACTGCAGGTAAGATACTGACTACTTAGAACCACTTAGGAACTAAACTGCTAAGCTTTTAAATGAAACGTATAACTTTCCTAAAATTTCACCCGCTTTTTAAAAATAAACCACTTTTCACATGTCTCGCACATCTAAACAAAATAAAATCACGTTCACGTTTAGGGAACTAGCAATCCAGATTTAGATTCTTAAATCTTCAGGATACAGATGTGTTTCCCTTCCCCTGCTAGAGCTCGGGACCAGTTCTGCCCACTGGACCCTCCTCTCTAATCCTGAACTGGAAAAAAAACCCAGCATGACAACATGAATGAATGATGATGTGCATCAACCTGCTGATCTCCTGAACCTCAGACCAAACATGGCCGTTTTCACTTTAACAAGCCTCAGTAGGTGCAAGGTGCAAACAAGCGTGAAGAGAGACCTCGCCGTGCTCTACTCACTTCCTGTGGAAAGCATGTTGGCATGGCAACACCCCCAGCTCGTCTTTCACTTTGAAGTCCTCCAGACACACAGCACACGTCTGCTACGAGGGCGACAGACGAGACGAAGTCAGGCAGGACATAAAATGATCGAGTCATTAGTTACAAGCTTTAACTGATCCTATCCACTCGACTTACCCCGTGAAGACTTAGCTTTTTGGGATCGCCTTTTAAAACAACCTGCCGGATTAACAAAAAATGGGTTAATTGAAGATACTTTTTTAAAAGAAGACAGACAATATGTTGCTAAATGTTCCTCCTTGCCTCTCTGTATCCAAACCGCTCGCTCTGTGCTTGGTGTCGTAGTTTGCTACAAAAGTGGAAAAAAAGGAAAAAGAAATTATGATTTTCAACGTTAAGTTAAATATGAATCTAAACATGTTTTTTTTCTGTGTCATGCTTCGTAATTCTAAAAAAGAAACAGTTTTGGGAAGGGTTCTCCTATGTTACATAACTTTTTTTTTTTCTGCAAGAGTCTAAATTTAAACCAGAGCGACTGAGCACCTGATAAGTCTGAAACATCCAGGATTTTCCTTGGTAACCAAATGATGTCTCCAAAGAAGAATAAAAAAATAAAAACACCTTGTCATAATGTTGGCCTAGACTTTAGCTTGGTACACTTCAAAGAATAATAATAAATAAAATAAAAAAAAACAATCTGAGCCTTTTGAAAGAAAAGCATAAAAAATAGAAATTCAGATAGAAGGCAAAAAATAGTAAAAATGGTTTTACAATATAATCTAAATTTATTCAGCTTAAGGTCACCTAAATAGATTAGAATAAAATAAACTAGCATTTTAAGAGTTTTATTAAGTGTTAAAACTGATTTCTAAATTTTATAGTCACCCAGCAAAAAGTTTGAATTAATTATTTTTCTTTGTTTCAAAGTTTCTGAGGAAAGAAATGTGCATTTTTCTTGAACTCCATCCTTAATGTTATCCGTCTTCGATGTAAAGTTATTTTTTAAAAGACATTTTCTGAAAGAAAAAAATAATTCAGATGAAAAAACAATGAATGTTATGAGACCAACTAAACTTAAAAGTGCATTTATAAAAACAAAACACAAGTTAAATCGTGCCAACAACAACTAATACAACTTCACAATAAGGCTCCATTTATAAATAAATAATGATGCTTCATGAAAAAGTTACTGGTGAGTTTGAAAACTAAAAACATTCATTCTTAAGAGTGTAAGAAAAACACGTAGGCAAGGTCAAATGCTGCTCTTTAATTCATGTCTTCAGGTTATTTAACTTATTTATACAGCAATATTATTAATTATCATTAATACGGGTTCAATACAACAGGACAATAAGTCTCTTTCCCAGAATCAGATGGTAATCCTTGCTTGTATGGAGACTTTGAGCAGGACTTATTAACTGGTGACTACATTAATTATAGTAATAATAAAAAATAAAAGTCACAAAAAGCTTTTTCAATCAGTTTGAGCTGTAAACAAGATGCTAAAGGCCACATGTAAATAAATTAACTTAGCTTTGCATCAAGCACAATATCAGAAATCAGTGTAAATATCTATCCATCTATTATCTTTTACCAGCTTCTTCCTTTTTGAGTCATGGGGGTCGCCGGTGTCCATGTCCAGCCATCACTGTGCAAGAGGCAGGGGACACCCTGGACAAGTCTCAAGTCCATCACAGGGACACATAGAGACAAACAAGACAAACAACCATTCATTGTCTCACTCACACCTAGGGACAATTTAGAGTTACCAATCAGCCTAACATGCATGTTTTTGTTCTGTGGGAGGAAACTGGAGCACTCGGAGAAAACTCCACGCAGAAAAGCCCTCAGACCAGGATATGAACCAGGGTAACCTGCTCGCTGAGAGTCAGTAGCTCTACCAACTGCGCCACCGTGCTGCCCGTGTTAATATCTAAATAAATTCACAAATGACGTGCCATACTAGTCTTTAAGCACACATTATATGACATAACTGCACATCTTCTTGCTTTACACTACTGCCCCGGATCAGCTTTTCCACACAAACCAGGCAGGTCTTCATGTTTCTACGTCTTGCTCTGAAACAACCATTCATTAGATTCTTCCTCTGCTCCTTTTCTGTCGTGGCAGTTAGCAAAATGCAGGTAAAATGAGACGTTTAGCTGTTCGCTCACAGACAGGAGCAGTGGTCATCTGTGACAGACCTATTTATAGTCCAGTTAATACAGTTCCAAACATCTGCAACGTGACCGTTCCATGCAAATGCATTCACCTTTGTATGTTGTCCAACAAAAAGTCAGATGCTGACTGATAAATAAGTTGATTAATAGCAATATGTTTCACAAAAAAAAGTTTTTTTTAAGAGTTTCTTCTATCTTCCTCTTCTTAATTAGGAGATAAAGATGTCTGAAGTGATTCTGATCTGACTTCATCAGCTGCTTGTGTTTGTGTAACTAAAGTTTTATAACTGCATGGTAATTACAAGCGTCCTCAAATACTGGACACATTCGCAGACAAAATACACACTCCTCCGTACAGACACACATACAGACACAGCTAATGAGTATTTAGGCTCTTTGCATCTGCTCCACCCTCCTGAAAAAGCCAACAATGGGGAGCAGATCTTTATCTCCTGACGAGAGCATTTCTGTGCAGGCAGGTTATTTTTGGCCTCTTGTTTTTGCATGACTAAACTTAGACCCAAGCATCGGTCCCTGTCTGCAGTTCGGGTCCCGAGACTTAAAAGCAACACCAGAATCTGAGAACCTGGTTCCAATCGCAGAGTGAAAAGTTAGAACATGTAGGAACAGAGCGAGGAAATGACAGTTATTAACTGTTTTTTATAACTTGGTTTATTGTTTGTGCTGACTGCTGCTTCCCCGTGAACAATGTGAGGATATAGGTTTTTTTTTTTTTTCCATGGCTGCAAAAAGATGCGAAGTGAATGATTCTCTCAAATATTTTGAGATTTTATTTGAAAGAAAAGACCCATATCAAAGTTTAGAATATATTCTGCACATTTATGTATTTTGTGTTAAAATACGAGGCAAGTTTGCAATAAAAAGGCTGTGAAAATAAAATGTTCATGATTAACGGCGTAAGATTTAATTAAACTGAAATAACTTATCAATAATTGTTTTGAATGTTTTTTTTAAAGCACAAGCTGACAAACACGTTTATGTTTCTGCTTCGAACGTTTTGCTTAAATGTCTCAAAAGTCTTAAAGTAATAATTGTGAAAAATATAGCGTTCGTTGAAGTAATGCATATCGCCCATCGCTGCTGATATCAAAGTTCAACTCAGATTGTTTGATGTTGAGGAAAAAACAGACATATCTTAGAGTATGTGAGATGACCACATCTAATTTTAACTCAATATCTGTAGTACTGACTGAGTTATACCATTTTTTTCTATAGAGCTGTGGCGGCCATCTTTAATTGGGTTGCCTACATAAGTTCATCAGTTCTACACGTACAGTACATCCAGCGGTTACTGTCTGAGTTTCAGTATAATCCCTCAGTAGGTCATAACATATTTTGTTAACATTCAAAATAAGTTTGACTAACAATTTATGCCAAGTTGTAACAAATATCTCACATGATCAGATTACGTGTTAGGATGATTCTCAGTTACTACCACTAAATTGTAGCTCAGTATCTGGAGAAGTGACTGAGTTGTAGCCGTTTTTGTGTTCGCTAAGGTCAAGCGACAGCCACAAGGCAGAGTTTGTGCTGCGGTCAAGGTTAGCATGAGAACAGTTAGCATCTGGTTTGTTGCTTTAATCCTCCTGTAATTAAGTGTAAAAATATTTACTTCATATTTAAAAGTATGTACTGTATTTTTCGCTGTATAAGTCGCACATTTTTGCATAAATTTGCAGGTCCTGTGACTTCTACACCGACGCGACTAATATACATTTTTTCCCCCAATTTATAATTCAATTTTTGGCTGAGATCTGACAATTTCATTCATTCTGACATGGAAAATATTGAACACTATCATTTTCAGCCGCTAGAGGACCCTCGAGTGATATGGCAAGCCAAGTGTCTCATTAATAGGTAAAAGTGACTATTAATGAGACACTTGGCTTGCCATACACCTACGACTCGCTCCAAAACTGCTGGAGCAAACGTCAAATCAGCTGCATTTTGTTGCGCCGCCCAGGCGACATGCAGCTGATTTGACCATTAAAGCACATTTATTACGGAAAAGTTCATCTGAGACACACCTTTGCTATAATTTCAAGCAAACAAATAATTTTTAGGTGGTTATCTTGGTAAATTTCGAAGAAATGCACAGCGAGTCCGCCATCTACGCGTTCCAGCAGCAGTGAATCGGCTTTTGAAATGCAGCTGATTTGATGGTCAAAGTGCATTTATTAAGGAAAAGTTCAACTGAGACACACCTTTGCTATAATTTCGAGCAAACAAATAATTGCTTTTAAGTGTTAATCTTGTTAAAATCTTGCTAAAGTCCTCCCGTGTACACTCCTGCAGCCACCATTTGGCAGCCAATCAATTTTTGGCACAACACCGGCCCATATTTCCGGGTGGTAAGTGGTGACGCATAATAGATGCGACTTAAACGGTGAAGCAACTTATTTATGTTTTTTTCCACTTTATTAAACATATTTGGGCTGATGCAACTTATATGGAGGTGCGACATGTACGGTGGAAAGTACGGTATTTATTGTTACAGAAAGGAAAAACTGAATTCTTCAGTCTTTGCCCGTCATCATTAACACTTCGGTCTAATATTAGCACGACTGCAGTCGTTTGATTGGTTAGCCAGAATCGTAAGAACGCTGACGTATTTTAACTCAGCTCAAGACTAAACTGAACTGATTAATATTTAATTCAAACCACAGTTTGATAAGTGAAAATTAAAGTTAAATAAAATAATTAGGCTTTGTAATATTATTTTTCGTCATTTCTTTAGTGCTGCAACATTCATAACGCAGGTACCACTTATAGTAAAACTAAGACAAATACAGTTTTTCAGTTTTATTACTCCATAATAAGAATAATAATACTAAAGGTGACGATGTTTGTGTTCATGTGTGCTTTACTAAAATATCCCATAAACTAGAGGATGAATTTTAATGCAACTCTCAGAAAGTAACCATTGGCTGTACTGTATAACTACAACTGATTAACTTTTGGAGTCAACTTCATTCATGATGGCCTCCGCAGCAAAGCAACTGTAGCAAATGCAAAAAGTGAATTTTACAAATATTGAGTTACAACTTGGTGTGGTAGTAGCTGAGAGTTATTCACAACAAACACTCCAATAGATCATGTCATCACCTCAGTATCACATGAGATTGCACAAAATGTTCTAAAGGTTTGA